ATCGGGCCGCAGGCCAAAGCCCGTTAGGGCTTACCTTCAGGTATAAGGCCGCGCGCCCCATGCCGCCGACCATGCGCAGACCATGCGCAGAACATGCGCAGAACATGCGCATACGTTTTATGCTGGGCCCTCCCTTGTAAGGGGCGAAGGATTTGCGGATTGGTTTAGGCGATTTCCGAGGATTTTTGTAGCATCTCCTCGCAGCGCCCAAAAACGAGTCCAAAAACGAGTATTTTTAGGGGGTGCCTAATACTGGACAACACCCCCAGCATTGCCAGCATCATCCCGGATGATGCGGATGATGTTATGCATGCTGGCGATGCGGGGGATGCTGGGGATGTTGTCCCCTAAGTCGGGCCAATTTTGCCGAAAACGTGCAACCTGAAAATCTTAAAATCTAAAGTGGATGGAAAATGGATGGAACATGGCCTGGATTGAAATCTCAAAATCCTAAAGTCTTAGATTCTTAAAATCTTAAAATAAAATCTAACAATCAATCTTAGAATCTCAAGATCTTAAAATCTTAGAACTTAGAATCTTAAAATCTGAAAATATAAAAACATCCTCCCAGCATTGCCAGCATCATCCCGGATGATGCGGATGATGCTATGCATGCTGGCGATGCGAAACAAGGGGCGGAAAATTGGAAGCAGGCGTGACTGGAAGTCCACGAAATGGACATCAAAGGAATTGCACGAATTTGAGGGGGGCACTGGAGAGAAGCCAAAATGCAGGCAAATGCAAGGTCAGACGAGGGGAACCGAAGAAGGAAACGAAAACAAATTGTGGAAATTATGGAAAACGAAGAGAAACTGCGAAACGAAGGGATGTGCAGGAAACTGACGTGGAATGGGAGGCGGACTGAAGTCACGGAAACTGAAAAGAACAGAGGGGAGGACTGCGACTGACACGGCGAAACTGTCGAAGATGCAGGAAACACGCGCAAAGGAAGTGAGGTTCAAATCTCGGGAACTGATCGGAATTAACGGAAACGGAAGTGGCAGAACGGCCAGGTCAAGGTGCCCGGTGGCCGGCTGTGTCGCGTCAGCGTGTAAATAATATTTGTCAATATATAATATGCAATAATTGCAATAGAATTATAAAAAAAATTGATGATATGAATACCAAGGATATTGATATTATAAATAATGAAACTATTGATGATGATTTAGAAATATTTGTATTTATTGAAATGAATAATTTCTTAACTATAGAAGGATTTGATAATGTATTAGAATGTAACGACGAAGGATATAATAATGATTTTGTTTTTAAGTATTATAGTATTGTAAAACAATTATACAATATGTCTTTTAATATTAAACGTTTAAAATATGTTGTATTGTTTGATTTTTTAAATGAGTTTTTAAATGATGAGTATAAAACTCACGAACTTAGATATACAATAAAACGTGCGATTGGAATAATGGGAATGTTTAGAAAACAAATAAAAAATAATTTTTATAATGAAACAACATGTGACAAAATAATAGAAAGAATTAAATTAATAATTTAGTTTTAGGCGAAATAGTCCTAAAGAAAAAACACCTTATATGAATAGTGAAGAAATGAACGGTATTGAAATCAATAAGTATATTAATAAGAAATGCTATGATTGTTGCCACTTTAAAAAGGAAAATATGGAATTGTATAAATTAAATTTACCTAATGGAATAATAAATAATATTATTGATTATGCTTTGGGTGAAGAAGATTTATGTGGAAATTGTAAAACCTGGAGAGATAACCAAGCTATAATCAAATGTTTGTTGAGATTAAAAAGAAGACATAATAGAAATGTAGAAGATGACATTTTGATATTTTTAACTGTAAATAAATTACCACCTTACGTTTATGTTAAACAGTTTCTTAAAATCAGTAAGAAAAATATGAAATGATTTATGATATATTAAGGATGTTGTGTCATAGTCAAAAGAAAGGAGATGATATTAAAGAATATATCAAATATTATATTGAAATTTATAAAAAGTTTAATGTTAAAAACACAGTGAGAGATATTAATATTATTTTTAAAATGATGTATGACATAAGTGAGATTTGTCAATTAAATTATTATCCTGAACTTAAATTATAAATTAACCCATAAACCTTACAATAAAAAACATTGTAAGATTTATGTTTTGAAATTATGGGGATTTTATATTTTGGGATTTTGGGAAAATATATTTTAGGAATTTGGGATTTTGGGAAAATATATTTTGGGAATTTGGGATTTTGGGATTTAGGTGGTAAAATTGGTTGAGGTGGCGTGCCCCTGTTGGTTAATATGGTTGAAGTGGTTGACTGAGGGGATTTTATCTGAACTGGGGCATGCCCTTTGGTAGGTCCTATACGGCTGGAAACACCCAAAAGTCCCAAAAGGCTGGATTTTGAAGATTTCAGTTTGTAGCAACTACAACAAGTTGGTGAGAAACAATTCGCAATGACAACAGTATGTCAAAACGATCGAGAAAATGGTCACTGGCATGGATTATTGCCTCGACTTTCCGATGGCAACCTCAGAGGATTAACTGCCATTCTGACCCTGGAAAACACGGGCGACAGCCCAAAACAATTGGATAGCTTCAGAGCTTGTCAGCCCGCCATGATAGCCTTTGCGCCGGCAAGAGGTGGACATGGCCAGGAAGCTTTGCGGGAGATGCTGCGGCAGAGGATCTGTGAAAATGTTGCCTTCCGGATGGAGGGACCGCAGCCGTGGTGCCCGCTCTGGAAGGGCGAGAAGTGGATTGGGGGTGGACGTTTCCTATTCGCTGCAGAAGCTGAAGCTGAAGGAGATGTTCCTGGAAGTTCCGAAGGGCATAGTGGAAGAGCGAAATGGGCCCTCAACCTGCAGCGCAAGATCAGGGAGCTCGGGGGTTCGGGAACTTGATGCCTGGGCTCGAATCCAAAAGCCGATCCTCGAGCTCAAGCTGCTGGGGAGCAGCGAGCGCACATACAGTCGAACTCGTTGGGCGACGCCAGCTGCGAGTCTAGAGACGAAGTCTTGCCCTCAGGCCTCGGGCGGCCCTGACGCTTTACTTTGACTATCCTGGCAAAGGCCCTCGATCAGCGCGGCCCCACTCCAAGTTGATGAAGGGAGGCCCGAGGAAGGGGAACCCGACCGCCCCGACCTCACAAGGAGAAAAGGCGGGGCCAGCATTTGCCACCCAAATGGCTGCAAGAGGTGAAGAACACGAGCGCTGCTAAATGGCGGAGCCACGCATGAAGTTGAAGAGATGGAGTGACTGGAGTGGGGGTGGTCCGATTTTGGCACAAGGGTCGATGTGGCTGAGGCAGGTTCGAGGACCCGGATTGTTATCCCTGGGCTTCCTCGCGCAAACGGGCTTCGCTGTCCGCAGCTGAGGAGAGACATAGTTCTGATAAAGGGCGAAAATTGAATCTGATCGGCTGATTCTGAAGCTGCGAAAATGAGGATGCATTCATGTCCAGTGCAGAGATGTCACTTCAAACATCACATCACTGCACCAGTCGGTGAGCTTTGGGTGTCTCAATCTGTCTTGAAGCGTGACTCAAACTACGGTCCGTCAGAGCGATAACAAACTGTTTGAAGCAAGAAACCGGACCCTCGTGCGGCCTGAAACAAATTATGTGAGACCCTCGAACGTTCAGGGGCTCCAAACATGCACGCCGTCCCCAAGTCACGCGAACTCCTTTCGCCACATCTTTCGCTGTGCCAAGCGGCGCTGGCCGGCGCCACCGAAGCCGGAACCCGGAACCCGGAAGCAGGAAGTGTTGGAGAATCGCGGTCTCCCTCTCACTCATTCAGAAAAAGCAAGAGTCAAAATGAATCCTAACCCGCACTACAGACACTGTTGATCAATGGGCGAACCACGAGTTGGATCCGACCCCCAACACCGCGCCTGGGCACCCTGGTCTCCGATTCTGTTGTCGTCCAGGATTATCTCTTTGGCACATTTGTTGCTCTTCAGCGCGTCAGCTATCGCCTGGCACAGTGTTGACGCGGACGCACGGCTGGAAAGAAAAACACACCCAAAAGCTTGAACAAAAGAAACACATACTTGTATTGGCATCGATTTCCTCGATTTTCCAACGCCAACAATACTATGCATTTTGAAGACCCTTCGAGAGAGAAGGCAGCCATTCTGGCAAGTTGTGCTTCGGTTGAATGCTGGAAAAAGCCAAGCGGGAGGCAGCCAAGCCTTGAAGTCCATAACCTTCGAGAAAGTGGGAACTAAAACAAGGGAGTGACGCAAATGCCCCAGCCCGGGGGAACCTGGTTGCGAGCTAACCCAACCGCACGGTATACTTGCCGGGGTTGGTGGACATTTCCCATTGGCTCGAAAACTGAAGCTGAAGGAGATGTTCCTGGAAGTGGCGAGGGGCATATTGAAAGAGGCGCCCCGCTGGCAACCGTGGAGGGATGTGCTCAGGAGCAGACGCATGAGAAGGCCTACTGGGCCTCGGGTCCCGAGGTGGTCCAACCTTGAGGCGGCTCAGGCCGTTGAGGCTTCCTACCCAGCAACTTTCTGCCAATATCACTTTGAAACCACTTCTTTGACGGGAAAATCACTTTGAAATCACTTTTTGGAAGGAAAACCACGTTGACATTTGAAATCACTTTTGTTGAAGGAAAATCACGTTGAAATCACGTTTGTTAAAAGAACATCAGCTTGAAATCATGTTTTTTGAACGAACATCACGTTGAAATCACTTTTGTTGAAGGAAAATCAATTTGATATCATTTTTTTGAGGAAAATCACTTTGAAATTATTTTTGCTCGGGGAAAACCACTTTGAAATCACTGAAAATCAGATTGAAATCACTTTTTGGAAGGAAAACCACGTTGACATTTGAAATCACTTTTGTTGAAGGAAACTCACGTTGAAATCACGTTTGTTAAAAGAACATCAGCTTGAAATCATGTTTTTGACCGAACATCACTTTGAAATCACTTTTGTTGAAGGAAAATCAATTTGATATCATTTTTTTGAGGAAAATCACTTTGAAATTACTTTTGCTCGGGGAAAACCACTTTGAAATCACTGAAAATCAGATTGAAATCACTTTTTGGAAGGAAAACCACGTTGACATTTGAAATCACTTTTGTTGAAGGAAAATCACGTTGAAATCACGTTTGTTAAAAGAACATCAGCTTGAAATCATGTTTTTTGACCGAACATCACATTGAAATCACTTTTGTTGAAGGAAAATCAATTTGATATCATTTTTTGAGGAAAATCACGGTGAAATCACTTTTGCTCGGGGAAAACCACTTTGAAATCACTTCTTTGACGGGAAAATCAGATTGAAATCACTTTTTGGAAGGAAAACCACTTTGACATTTGAAATCACTTTTGTTGAAGGAACATCACGTTGAAATCACATTTTTTAAAGGACATTTTTATTGAATGAAAATCACTTTGAAATCACTTTTGTTGAAGGAAAATCATTTTTTGAAGTGAACATCACTTTGAATTGTTTGAAGGAACATCACTTTGAAATCACTTTTTTGAAGGAACATCTATTTGAAATCATTTTATTCGAGGAAAATGACGTTGAAATCACTTTTTTTGAAGTGACCATCCCTTTGAAATCACTTTTTTTGAAGGACAATCACTTTGAAATCACTATCTTTCGAGGAAAATCAGTTTGAAATCATTATTCTTGAGTGAAAATCACTTTGAAATCACGTTTTTGAAGAAAATCAAATTGAAACCGCTTTTATTGAAGGAAAATCACTTTGAAATCACTTTGGAATCATTGTTTTAGGAAAATCAGCTTGAAATCACTTTTGCTCGAGGAAAATCAGTTTGACATCACTTGTTTGAATAAATTTAGGGTTCTGACAAAAAGCGATTTCAAAGTGATTGTCTTTTCTGATTTGCGATCGAACATCACGTTGAAATCACTTTGAATACCATCGTGAAAAAGTGATTTTGAAGTGTTGTTTTGTACAAATCACTTTTTCAAGCAGTTTATGCGTAGAGGAAAAAATGAGTTTCAAGTGATTTTCGGGAGAGGTCTTTCAGCAGAAGGCGACCCGTCCCCCAATGAACAGAGAGCAAAGGTTGAGCTGGCAAGCGACCTTTGCCAATTAGCCACCGGCCAGCATCTGCCTACGGTTTGGAAGCCAAAAGGGGTTAGACCAGGAGAAACTCGTGTTGTTTTGAAGATTCCCTTTGCGTTGCTTGCCAAAGCCCGTCAAAGCCTCGCAAACCTGGGGCCAGCTTCACACGGGCAACCTGCCCTTCCATCGCCATGCTTCTGCAAGCTTGCATCACAGCGGAGAGCCTACTCCCTTTTCGCCAGGAGCCCAAAAAGTGTCAGGGAGGCCTATATACAGTTCAAAGACACATCGTCGGCATTCCTTGTCACAGAGACTGCCTGAATGGGGGGGGGGGTTGGCTTCAACGTTGTCTAAAACCAGTACCCCCAGGCACCACTTGAAATATAATGGCGTTAAAGCGGTTGCACATACCACTGCTAGGGTAAGTGGTCTAGGGGTAGTGGAAACCATCTCAGGCGTAGGTCATTGGGTATCCAGTGTGGAATCTATGTAGCTTAATATTGGTGAGGCGCAAAACGCTCCAACTTGTCCCGGGCCCCTGGCAAAGGGAAACTTCCAATGGGAAGATTACAAAGGGAAAGTTCCAATGGGATAATTTCAATGGGAGAATTCCAACGGACAAATTCCAAAGGGAAACTTCCAATGGGAGACGTCCAATGGGATAATTCCAATGGGATACTTCTACAGGGAAAATACCAAAGGGAAAATTCCACAGGGAAACTTCCAGTGGGAAAATTACAAAGGGACATTTCTAAAGGGAGACTTCCAATGGGAAACTTCCAAAGGGACACATATAAGAAAGCAGGCCTGTATTGTCGGCGGCCTGAGCCGGAGGAGTCCGGCTACGCCTCCTGGGGTAGCATGTCGCCGCTAGACAATTTGCCTGCTAGCTTTAGCTATGGGGTTGCACGCCCGCGCCGCCGACATCTTTTTTGGTCGTGATGCGGTGCCTAAATCCGGCACGTCTGCATCACCAGCTCCGGCTTGCGGTTTTGCTTGCCTGTGGGAAACCCTCGCAAAACATCGCGTATATGCAGGGTTTAGGCCGTGTGGCTGACATCATCAGGGTCTGGGGTTGGGCCTGGGTGATGCTTCAGCGGGGCTTGGCCTGCATCCCCAGGAAGCATTGTTTTTTAGAAGGTGCCGAAGGGATATAAGCAAGGTTCATTTTCGCGCGTTTTGGCGCCAAGCGCTGGCGGGCCTGCCGGCGATGCTGGGTCCTTGCTCTACAAAACGCGTCAAAAACTGCTATGCTGAGCGTTGGGCTGTTGTTCTGTCCGTTTTGCTTGTTGTGGCTGGCGCGTGCGCTGCGCGGTCCTTGTTTTGTTCTCGTTGGTTTTCGGGCCTTGTGGCGCGCGCGCGCGCGACCCCGGCCACAAAACGCTGCTATTTGCGGTGTTTTGTTGCGTTTGCGTTTCTGGGCTGGCTTGCGAGCTGTTCTTTTTCGGCTGCTTGTTTTGGGGTTGTGGCGCGCGCGCGCGTGACCCCATGTGAACCTACTGGGTTGGGGCCCGGCTGGGGCCCAGAAAGCTAGCATCCCCGGCATCATCTGGGATATGTTGATGGCTGGAGTGGGCAAAATGCATACTCTAACCAAGCACGTCATAGCATATCATAGCACAGGATACGTTTCATGTGACATGACATGGTAGACGCTATGGCTGGAGTGGGCAACATGCATAACCTAACAAGACATATCATAGCATAGGATACGTTTCACACACAATAAAATGACATGACATGGTATAAAAAAAAGACATGACATGGTATAACGAAGCGGCGTAGCCGGCTAGAGGCCGCAGGCCCAAAAGATTTTCCAAAATCAACAATCAAAAACGGATACTAGCAACCCCCCTCAAATACCCTAAAAATAGACTTCCAAAAGCACGATAATGCAGGGGATGTTTCGCAGTGATTGCTCCGTACAGGTGGGGAATTGCAAAAAACACTAATTTTTGCAAATTTCAACCGTTCCTCAAAGTATCACTGCACTTGCCCCCACCCAGACCCCTAACAGGCCAATTCCAACATTGCTTGAAACAGCAAACGCCACCTGTATCTGCAAAAAAAAGAGAGACAAATTCATGGCAGCAAGATAATCCTGATGATGCTGGGAATGCAGATCCTGCGCGTCCAGGGGAACCCCCTGTGTTTGCTTTACCATTGATCTCCCGCAATCTCTTTGGCTCAAGGCCCTCTTTTCTCACCCATGCATTCACATGGATACATTGAGATAAAAGGCTTGCAGACCGCTTTATAGTCATACAGCGAATCCAAGCAACCAGGGACAATCCAAATCTCAATATGCCTGGTCGTAGGGATCATAATTTTCGTTGACCATATTGGCCTTTCCGCCGGAACCGCTCTTTGGGAAGGGTTTAAAGCCACCTCGTTGGTGACTGCCCTTTTTGTTTCTGGATTTTCCTTGTCCTTTCTTCTTTCCGAATCTGAAACTCCGCCCAGACACTTTCCTTGCAACGAACGCATCGTTCTCCTCTAAGACCCAGCAAGTCTCTTCATCATTGTTCGCCGTGAACCCTTCGTACCCTTCTTCATCTTCCACCCAGAAGCCTTCTTCGCCTTCATACTCCCCCTGTTCTAGGATGTAGAAGGTGTTGCTCCGATATGCCCCAGGAGGTTGGATGGATGGATCTTGGATGGATGTTCTGGTCGTGATGAAGAGATCGTGGTACTGCGTCTTCAGCATCTCGTAGGTCTTGTTCTCCAGTAGGATATTTCTCAAAGACATTGCGCTGATCAGCTCTCTCTGCTGACAATTCACTCTGGGTGATGAAAAACTGTGAGATGAGGTTGTCGTTGAGAGGGAATGCGTCCTTGTGTCTTCTCTGCATGCCGTTGAGGCACTGCCTGAGTACTTCTGGGTTGTCTGCGGCTAGCAGATCTGGAGGCGGTGCCCGTGGCACCTGCTGCTTGCTGGTGATGGGCAAGTCTACTTGCATCTATTTTTTGAGTCGAGGCGAGAAACTCTGGTGACTGTGCCGTATGAACGGGCATCAGGCCCATCCAGGCTGTCTTCAGTCTCCTGAGGAGGATTTCGAATTTGGATGTGAATATTCCAGCAAGAGATTCCACAATGTGAATCGATGTCACTGGTAAATGGATTTGGTTGATGTAGTCCCTGTGGGCGTTCCGCAAGTCCTTTTCTGTGTATCTCACTGTCGCATGAAGGAAAGTGATATATACATGTAACTCAGGCCTTGAGCCGAAATGGTTGTTGGGAGGATCAATTGCGATGCAAAACCAAACACACCCCACCCAGCAATCGAACGTGCGCAAACGTGATCCGGCCTCTGCTGGAACAGTCAAAATGTGCGGCTCGCTGCCGCCGCTCACACCCTGTCATAACGCAACTGGCTTCAGTTGGCCAACCAAAGACAAAGCAAGTTTGTGTTCATCGCGCTCAACAAGCAGTAGGCCGGCAAAAGCAGTTGTTAAAAACGGTGCAGACGCTCAATGCTGGTTTTGGCGCAATGCACGTCCAATCCGAACGCGCGATCCCTGGCTCATGTTCTGCCTCTGCAACCGAGCTGTTGGCTTTGAGCTGGCTGTCCTGCCACCGCGCGGTGCATGAGATGACATGAACCTGAAGAAGTACCTGGTTAAGAAGGGCTATTCTATTTTGAGACATACCCGAATGGTAGTGTCTCGAACTTGCAGGCCCCTAGAACGGTCCGTGTCCGTTTAGATCCGTTTAGATACCTTCTGCGTCTCTGAGAGATGGACACTTTTTGATCTAGCGATGGAAAATCCCCCGATTGGGGGACCCCCCGATTGGGTCAAAGCGTCCATTGGCCCTAGCTGAGCAGTGCTCTAACCTCCCTTGAGTGGTAAAGACAATAACCACTCAAGGCAATGATATTTCAATTTATAAAATAAATTAGGTGGATTTTATCAGTTCTGCGATTCAAATTCAATAATATTTATCATCCTAAAATATCCATTAACCCACCACCACCACCACCGCCGCCGCCACGACTACCACCACCCAGGGATTTAGAACTAACTGTTCAGCTGGGCATCACTTGCTGGTTCTCAGTAGGGAGTGAGGGAACACACCCGCGCACCAGCCCCATGGGGTTCCTCAGAAAAATGTTTGGTGGGTTCATCCCCTACTGGGAGCCGGCAAGCCAAATGGGCAACGCACGCGCCAACACCCTCGACACTGCCCCAACTGCGTCGACTGCAAAAAGCAAAGCAACAATGTCAAAGTCGTCTGGAAGAAGCAGACAACAGCACCGGAAAGGGTCACTAAGAGCGGAAGCCTCACAGAGCTCCCCACCCAGCAATCGAACGTGCGCAAACGTGATCCGGCCTCTGCTGGAACAGTCAAAATGTGCGGCTCGCTGCCGCCGCTCACACCCTGTCATAACGCAACTGGCTTCACTTGGCCAACCAAATACAAAGCAAGTTTGTGTTCATCGCGCTCAACAAGCAGTAGGCCGGCAAAAGCAGTTGTTAAAAACGGTGCAGGTCCAAGAATGCGACGCTCAATGCTGGTTTTGGCGCAATGCACGTCCAATCCGAACGCGCGATCCCTGGCTCATGACCGAGCTGTTGGCTTTGAGCTGGCTGTCCTGCCACCGCGCGGTGCATGAGATGACATGAACCTGAAGAAGTACCTGGTTAAGAAGGGCTATTCTATTTTGAGACATACCCGAATGGTAGTGTCTCGAACTTGCAGGCCCCTAGAACGGTCCGTGTCCGTTTAGATCCGTTTAGATACCTTCTGCGTCTCTGAGAGATGGACACTTTTTGATCTAGCGATGGAAAATCCCCCGATTGGGGGACCCCCCGATTGGGTCAAAGCGTCCATTGGCCCTAGCTGAGCAGTGCTCTAACCTCCCTTGAGATTGTTATAAAAAAAAAAAACAAAAATAAAAAAAAAAAAAAAAAAAAAAACAAAAAACAAAAATAAAAATAAAAAAAAAACAAAAAAAACAAACAAAAAATAAAAAATAAAAAAACAAAAAAAAAACTAAACGCCAAAAGAAAAATACAACCACACAATGCAATGATGATTTCAATTATAAATAGGTGGATATTTTCAGTTCTGCGATTCATCCCACCACCACCACCACCGCCGCCGCCACGACTACCACCACCCAGGGACAAAAGAACTAACTGTTCAGCTGGGCATCACTTGCTGGTTCTCAGTAGGGAGTGAGGGAACACACCCGCACACCAGCCCCATGGGGTTCCTCAGAAAAATGTTTGGTGGGTTCATCCCCTACTGGGAGCCGGCAAGCCAAATGGGCAACGCACGCGCCAACACCCTCGACACTGCCCCAACTGCGTCGACTGCAAAAAGCAAAGCAACAATGTCAAAGTCGTCCGGAAGATGCAGACAACAGCACTGGAAAGGGTCACTAAGAGCGGAAGCCTCACAGAGCTCCCCACCCAGCAATCGAACGTGCGCAAACGTGATCCGGCCTCTGCTGGAACAGTCAAAATGTGCGGCTCGCTGCCGCCGCTCACACCCTGTCATAACGCAACTGGCTTCATTTGGCCAACCAAAGACAAAGCAAGTTTGTGTTCATCGCGCTCAACAAGCAGTAGGCCGGCAAAAGCAGTTGTTAAAAAAAGGCGCAGGTCCAAGAATGCGACGCTCAATGCTGGTTTTGGCGCAATGCACGTACAATCCGAACGCGCGATCCCTGGCTCATGTTCTGCCTCTGCAACCGAGCTGTTGGCTTTGAGCTGGCTGTCCTGCCACCGCGCGGTGCATGAGATGACATGGACCTGAAGAAGTACCTGGTTAAGAAGGGCTATTCTATTTTGAGACATACCCGAATGGTAGTGTCTCGAACTGTCCGTGTCCGTTTAGATCCGTTTAGATACCTTCTGCGTCTCTGAGATTGAAAAACACTGTGCATTGAAACACAATGTAAATGCCAGTGTTTTGCGCGCGTCTTAGCAGGATTTGTGCAGAACATATTTCATTCAGGAAAAACAGTTGTTTTTGCAGAGTGTGGCATTGGTCAAGGCATACAAGATGTGAGCAGATGTTTTGGTGTCGGCCAAGGATATGTACGGTGACTGTTCATGTGTTTGGTTTACGTGGAGCGTGGACGTGAAGCCAGGTCCCCAAAGTTCTGTCGCGCCTGCGACGTCGCCTCGCTGACGACTTCTCTCTTTGGCTGAGCCTGGATCGGAAGCTTCGGTTGCCATGTCAATCGAAAACACATTTAAAGAATTCTACAGAAACCGTCTTCTGCAAAATAGGACATGGGGGGAAATCACTCGAGTCAGGGTGCGGCGACTCTAGGCTGATTCCCCTGGGGCCGTTGGGGCGTAATTTTAGACTATTTTAGACCCTCCCTGTAACATTGTTTTCGCACTGCACTAAAAGGTTCTTTTCTTGGGTCAAAAGGGCTTCATGTGTAGAGTGTCTGTAACACTCACACACAGCAAGCTAGAGTGCCTGTAGCGCTCACAACCAGCAAGCTAGAGTGCCTGTAGCACTCTCAACCAGCAAGCTGCAGCAAGCTTTCATGCCATGTACAGAGTGCCAACTCGCACTCCAAACCTTAGTATTTCAGGCCATGTACAGAGTGTCGCCCACGCACTGACAAGCCTCAGGATTTCACGTCATGTACAGAGTGACGCCAACGCACTCAAACAGGATTTTGGGCTCTCCCATCTTTCCCCGTAGAAAAAAATCCAAAAAGACCAGCATCGGCTCTCATTTCTTCACGAAGACGCTGTAGCCAGTGAAGGGGAAGTTCTCGTACGGCTCACCAGCCCAAACACCCTCCTCGTTCCAGGAGGGAGGAGATCCCCTCATCGTTGCTCAGCACGGCGGAGAGAATATGGCTGGTGAAGCTGGCGGGAAAACGGCAAGGCTAAGGGAAGGGGCGTTGCTGAGGAGGAGGAATGCGAGGACGGCGGTGACAATGCGGTGGTAGCAGGGGCATTGGGGAGAACCGCGTCCAAGCAGCGCAAGAGATGCAGCACCGAGAATCAGTTTCAACACGATCACTCGGGGCTGGGATGGAACATGAAGGTGATGCGGGCAAGGTACTACGAGCAGAATAATGCGGACAAGAATGGGATTTGTAAAGACCGGTAAATAATCCGGCGCGTGTTTTTCGGTGCTGAAGACACCGAGGGGGGCCCGATGTCGTATCCCGGGAGCCCCTTTTTACCCAAGAACATGCTGCTAGAAAAAGAGTAGCGGCTGCCCTAAAGAGCCCCCGAACGGGAAGTTGCCCCTTGCCCCGACTGTTTACTGCAGGTTCGTCGCAGGGCGAAAGAGGCCATGGAAGAAAGGTTCACAACTCCTTTGTTGGTCATATGGGTATGGAATTTAATTGGGGACCCCTTGGTGCGCATCATTTGGGTGGGGATTTATGCAATAGCCAGGTGCTGGATGGACGAAATCCATTTCGCACCAGTTGGGATGGATGAAGCCTGATAAGTACTGGGACAAACCGTCTACCAACTGGCGCAGGAATTTGTCCATCTAGAGTATGGCAGTATGGGTGCAAGTCAAAAACTAGTTGGACCCCTTCAAACGCTGGATTGGTCGATCCAAGTTCCTCTTTCAACCGCTGAAGGATGTCAAGGTGGCCTATCAGCCAAGGGGCTTTCCAGGGATGGGTTTTGGAGCTATGGATGTTAACAAGCACCAACAAAAAGCTTGTAAGGCAGTATGTGCCCCTTATATAAGTGGTATATAACCTCCACGCTTCCTGACACCCATCCCTGGAATTTCCCCTGAGTCAGCCAAGCACGCCCTCGGACTTGTCCTGCAATCGCATTCCCCAACTTACGACGCTTGAGGAACCATCACGGCCGGGAAAGCATTTCCCCAGCTATCCTTACCAACTTAGCTCCAAAGCACATGTCCAGTAGTGATAGGTTTTTTTAAAATAAATAGGTGAACAGAAAGGCAACTCTTAATAAAATGGAAGCTTGGTACGCTTCAAGTAGCAAGAGAACAGCTGGGGCAAGTTCCATTTGCATAGTTGAGAGTGACCTACTCCCAGTTGCTCCAACCCTGGCTAAAAAAAAAGAACCCCTGTTGTGGTTGACCAGGGACCCATCACTGACTTAAAAGGGTGAATCCACCAACCGCCCCTGGCACCTAAGCAAACGCGCAGTCCGACCCGGGTTTCGGATTGACGAAAAGCCCTGCCTGCTGCGGATAGGCCCCCAAGCTCTGCAATGAATCCTCAGCGGCTTACGTGTCCCTTGGCTTGGGGCTTGGGGTATCACCTTTTGACTACATTTTTCTTGGAGGTTGGGGGGCCAAACGTGATCTTTTGACTACATGTCCCTTGCGGGCTCAAGGTCAAACACTACCTTTTGACTACATTTCCGTTGGGGCGATGTTTAAACAGGACCTAAGACCCCTGGCAACATCACGCAGCTCTACCTCGAGAGCAAGCTACCCGAGCCTAGGATCGTATGGCACATGGGATTTGCCAAATTTGGACTGGGTAACCAATGGCACTTCCAATTCAACAGCGGCCTGTGTGAGTTCAATGTCCCCAAAAAAACGGCCGATTGGGAGCCAGCTTCGGGCCCCGGGGATTCACAAGCCGAGCTCTCAAGATCTCCTGAGAAAAGCTGATAGAAACCAAATGCAATTCGCCCAGCGGATCCATGTGGCAGGCCAGCCACTAGCTCGGAGCTTGGGGCTTGGAGTGAACGTTTTGCTGTGTAAAAAACATAATATGTGATTCGGGCACGAGCCTGTGCCCAGGCAATGGGTAAGTTGGGGTAAACAAGCCACAAAAGAAAGGTTCCCCAAAAGCAAACCAATCCCCGGTCCCAAAGATCAGGGTTTCCCACACACCAGAGAACAACAACAACCAAAAGAGAAAAGGGTTAACCCGCAACCTTGATCGACAACAGGCCGCACGACTGGTCCCTACCAACCTGGCGGCGGCCCGAGGTCTCTTTCTCCCCCGAGATGCCGTCGGTCGACGCAGGGGTTCGGCGACGCCCATTCGAGGCGCGACGGAACCCGTAAAACTTGAGCCAAAACACCACAGGTCGGTCACTACCGCGACGTCCCTGATGATGATATTAACCATGGCTAATCACACCCCCCTCACGAGGAGCCCGTCATATGACGGGTGGAGCGTGCCATTTACTGATAGGATTTAACTGCTCGCATGTGTCCGCAAACAGCTGGACACTACCGCCGTCAGCGGTGGAGCAAACCCACAAAGGCAGTTGCGCGACATCCCGGGCATTAAATTCCCGCCACCACCCCGAATTAATCGGGGTAACGCTGTCCAACATACCTTGTGGAAAAGTCCACGTGACGACACTAGGCCACAACTGTTTGCATCAACAATGCAAGAAGTTTAATTCTTATCAGAAGCCATGAAAAAGAAGATAACGTATGTCCATTAGTACCCTCGCCTAACGGCAAGAGGTACTCCTGACCATGCGTACCTGAAAAATGCTTGAATTCCGCAAACCCGGGAGTAACCCCCCATCAGTTTGCTTTCCCTCTCACTCACACTGCTTCCTGATGAACACGTCCAGCAGCCCAGCAGCGGTATGGGAGAGACATGACCTCCGCGCCTCAGCGGTCCGGGAGGAACATCACCACCTCCGCACCGCGCCGACCATTGGAGAATGGACGCAAGCCTATCGGCCGCAATCCTCGTGACTCAGCCTACCGGCTATCGTCACGTCTCCTCCGGTCACGTCCGCCCCGCGCACGGTCCCTATCACGATCCCTTTCGGATCTCCTGCGATCATCTCGCCTTCGATCTCGCTCCCGATCGAGTGAATCATCATCACGACGATCACGAGCATCGTCCCTCCTCCGGTCGCGATCATCCTCGCGCCGCGGACGGTATCTGCGCCTTCTCGACTCTCTGGAATCCCTGGTGTCCACGGTCCTAACGGACCTCCGAGAAGGAGTACGGGAAACGTCCGATTCCCTACGCCTCCTCCCAGAGCGAGAGTTCGTCACGATCTGGTTGAGAGCCTCCAGTGCTGACGCGTCCTCACCATTTCTGATGAAATCCCTGACTTGCTTGTTCAGCACTCTGTTGGTGGAGACCGATAAGAGAGCGTCCACCACCGAACTCTCAGGCAGCACCAGGAAGTGACCCTCCACCGGGCTCGCCGCAGCTCGCCCAGCCGACTGCAACCGGATCTCACCGCTTTCAGGCTTCTTTGCCATCGCCTTGGAGGCCGTCAAAGGCGCTACCGCATCCTTTGCCGAAGATCTGCCAAGCGCGGAGTGGAGATCATCCCCACTAGCTTCTCTCGCTGCCGCACCTGGTCTGCTGTCGACGTCACCAGGCCTTGTTGACGCCTCCCGCTTTGTCGACTCCTTCACAGTCTCATCGGGATCCCAACGGGATTTCCTTTCTCTCTTCTGCCCTTTTTCCGATACCATGTACTTCCTAAGTTGCGATATCAATGCATGACTGGCCAAGATGTCCACGTCCTTCCGATGGGTCGGATACAATGGAGTCAGATGACCCGCCGCGGAGCCAATCACGTACGCCATCGGGATATAGAAGGACAAGTACGTGTCATGGCGAGCGAACTTCCTAACGGAAGTCGTCATACGCCTACCCCACTGAGCAGCATGCCTCGGGTTAGCTCGGAAGTACTCAGTGACCGACTCAAATCTATCGACTTGGTTGGTCAAAATCAGGTGCTTCGCCACCCACTTCTCCACGAACGCATCCGAGGCCGAAATCCCCGACACATAGGAGAATTGGAAGAGCACCTTCGCCAGCTCATCCCACGCCGTATCGACTCCTCCCTTGTCCTCACCAAGAGGCAGTCTGATGCCGCTCTGCACCGTCATCCTCAGGTCAGACGCCATCGAATAGGAAATCAAGTTCCTCTTGATGACTCCGACCACTTTGGACGGGATCCTCTTGGGCTTGAACTGCCCCATTCTCCTCACCCACTCCGGGACGATGCGGCACCTCTCGAAGTCATTTTCGTCCGCGTTGGGGATGAAGTTCGGGTAGAAGACCGGGAGCGCACACCCAGGGCACAAATGCATCCCATTTGGCGTCATCTCCGCGCACCTCAAACAGAACGTGGTGGTCACATTCAACCTGACCTCTTCACGCGATCGCCTGTGCTCTCCCCTAACGGGGGTGAAGTCACCATAGTCCCATGCCCGATGGTACACTATCGTGTAATCATCGTACATGTATGCTGCCTTCCAAGCTCCCATGTGGATCTCGTTCCGAACGGCGAAGGTCTTTCTTCTCGTCAAAAACACGGGTCCAACCAATGACCAGTGCGCCCGAAGGTCCACCATTACCACCACGTACCTCCCCGAATAGTTCCGCAGCCTGTCCCTGACGTACCACGAAGGCGATACCTCGGCATTCGGCGCCAGGGTTCCCACAAGTGGGATCAGGCCCTCATCCTGCCTTCCATCCCCAATGGTCTCGCACACATCGGGCCTCGTGATCAATATCTCGATCATGGCCTTTCCGTTTCGTCTCATCCTTTGGAGCTGAACCGCCTTCCTAAAGTCCGAGAACTTCATGACGACGTACCCCACCATAGGGAGCTCATTCCAGTGCATCTCGTACATCAGAGATCCGCCGGGTGCATCTTCTTGGGTGTACCTCTGCCTAACGGCACTGTAGCTCATGTCACGTCCGATCCGCGTGTGCCTAACGGCCACTAACCTAGTGCTCTCCTTGAGGAGGACGCCATTCCCATCGTACATGACCATGAGCATCGCCTCAACTTGCCCTATCGGGAAAGCTTTGATCGTCGGAATGAAGAACTTCCACGACATCTCGGCGTTCTCCATGCCCGTGATCTCCCTCAGGAACCAGATGGCCTGGTCACTATTCACCCAGTTTCCAGCCTCACGCCCAGTTTCCTTCAGCACACGTTCCTCGAATAACTCCGAGACTCTCGTCGAGTTGATGACCAGACCCTCAAAGTCGCACGAGAGAAGTCTCATCAACTCCTTAGCCGCCTCCCGCCCTGCAACACTGCCCGCGGTTTCCTCGTAGTTCGGGACGTACTCGCCCAACTTTGTCTTCGAGGGAATCACAATCTGGCATGTGGCGGCCTCATCAGGGATAACCCCAGTATCCCTTAGATCTGGATTGATTTCCCGCCTATCGGCAAGATAATCCTTCCTCCCGTCCAGGACCACAAGATTGTAGGTCATCTTGCTTGCCGCCTCACTCGGTCGGAACCTCCTGCTATCATCCAACTGATCAGGAGCAAAAGGCCCATTGGGGGCAGCTGCACTTACCATTGGCGCTCCTCTCCCAGAGCATAGGTGTTTCTTGTGAAAGTTCACCATCTCATTCAGCTGCGACAGGGCATAAGCTCGATCCTCCAATGACATCCCAGCCTCAGTCAGAGGAGCCTCAAGCTTGTCATAACTCGCTTTTCCGCGACCAGCTCAGCAGACTTTGCAGGATCGATCAGATTGCCCGACCATTCAGGCATGTCACTCAACCTCCTAGTCAACGCGTCTATCGACGCAGCCAAGTCTTCATCCGTCACGGTGTGAGGGTCGACCTTCTCCCTGTCTTCCTGACCCACGTCAGGGAGCCTATAGTCCCCGCGGATGGCCTCCATCGCAGCCTTCTCGGCTTCCTCAGCCTCCTTTTGCGTGGCCACTGCTCTAGGGATCAGGAGCGCTGCCTCGGCAGGCAACGATTTCTCCATGTCAATCGGAGTGTTCTTGGGAAGGATCCTTCGATCATCTCCCTCCCCGCTGTACACATAGTCTGGAGCAGTCTTTCGGTACTCCTCGAAGGTAGCCCCTTTGAAGTTGGTGATCTCGCTCGGGTCTGTCTTCCCAGCCTCAGTATCCCGAGGCGTGGGCTTCATCGTCCCGGCGGAATCCTTCTTGAAGCCTTCCTGATCCACATCCATGTCGTCTTTCTTCTTCTCCGTCACGGAAAGTTTCCCAATGTCAGGAAGCGTCACATCATCATCCTTTCCCGACGACCCGACGCCCCTATCGGGGGCCGGCTCGGTCCTCTGTTGCCCCGAAGAGCTCGCCCCAGGATCCACATCGCCCTCGTCATCCACATGCGGTCGCTTTCCCCACACGATCTTCGTCTTCGGCTTCAGCGGGACAGCGACACCCCCAGCCATATGGTGTCCAGGCCAAGTGGCCTCTTCAGGGTCATCTTCGAACCATGATTTCCCGAACGGGAACCCATCCCTTCCGATGATCTCCTTCCTATCGGA